CAGAGTCCAAGGCCCCATGGATTTCCCAGCTCTCATCTCTATGGCCGCAGGCATGTGGCTTCTTGCCTGGCCCTTAAGCTAGATTTGCACCATGCACTCAAAGCATTTTGCCGAAAGAGGGTGAAGGGGGTGGGTAGATGCCTCCTCTTTCAAGGCTCGGGCTCTCTGGGTCTTCCTGCTTGTTGCGCTGGGTTCCCTCCTTTGTCTGACCTCAGGAACTCAGCACACCGACAGACAATTGTGCTTGAACACCCATGGGGTGGGGCCAGGCCTGATTCAGGTCCTTGTCCAGCACCCGCATGCAGCTGGCACCCCTTAGATGTTATTTGAACAACCAGAGACAGAGGACAATGCATGGCAGCTGGGAGAAAACTTTGGTGTGGGCGCCCCTGACTCCAGTTAAAATTAACTCAGGTTGCAGTCACGTGTTCCAAAAATTTCAGTTCAACTCAATTCATCTCATTCGCCTGAAATTCTTCCAATTCCCTCCATTCAACTCAATCCCAGGCCCCCAGCTCACTCCTTCCAATTTTTACTTTGACTCCTCAATTCAATTTATTTTAATTTCATTCTATTGGATTCCTTTCGTTCAATTTGATTTTCTTTCTTCAGTCCAGCTAAATTCAATTCCTTCAATTCATTTCAATTGCCCTCAGTCCAGTTTTTTGACTTTAACCAGATCCTGACTGTTAATCCAACTTCGGTCAATTTTTCCAATTTGACCCAAACCCCATTCAGCTCACCTTGGGCCCTCCAGCAACTTCCTGGGAGTCCTCACTATGTGAATGATCTCAATTCTGTCCTGGGTACCTTTGGACACCTGAGCCCTGCGGGGCACAATCCTCCAGGCTGTGTGATGAAGAGGCTTCCTCCTGGAGAAGGATCTGGAAAAAAAATTACACACACACACTTGCTGTGGGCAATGCTGTTGCTTGCCTGTCCCGTCCTGTTCTTCGAAGGACAAATCTGAGACAAGGAGGTTCTTGTTATGGTCATGATCTCCGTTGTGCAGGAGGGGAGAAGGAGGCACACAGGTTTTACACCCAAACTAGGCCTTAGAGAGGAAGCCTTCAGGCCTTGAACCTGGGCTGTTTCACAGTGAAGCTTTTGCTCGACATGTACATGAAAAAACAATATTCCAATTTAGTCAATGAATTTGTTCGACAATGTTAAGTGATTACTATGCATATCCAATGTTCTAGGCAGTGCAGATGTGGTGGTGAGGGAGTGAGCCGTGGTCCTAGCCCTAGGTACCTGTGGCTCAGGGTGGAAGGTGGCAGATCACATGGGCAATGTGTACTTGCTCCCATGAGCACAGCATTTTGCTCCTGCTCATGGGACAAAAAGTGACCAGAGCCATGATCACTTCAGCTTCAGACTTTGTTCTGAGCAGTGTTCCCTGCTTCAATTAGTGCCACACCCCACCTGCTTCCTAATTGGCCCTTAATGTCAGACTGGCTATCATGGTTTCAGCCCTCATAGAGAGAACCCTCGAGTCCTTCCGGATTTGCTGACTTCAGCTGCTCTGGAGAAACCCCCTGCCCTCTGTGATGGCCGTTCCGTGTTTTTACCTTCCTAGCTGAGTTCTGGTCTCCCAAAAGCAGTAGGACTTTGACAATTAGAAATATATGCTAAGAGGATAATCCAAGAAGTGGAAACAAGGGCTTGGAGGTCAACAAGGATACATGGAAATGAAATGAGGGCAATGGGAAGAAGGGGACTGAGGAATTAGAGGAAGTTTGGGGACTTCTACTTCTCCTGTGGGAAGTGTGAATCCAGGGCAGCATTAAGGGGGTTGTTTGTGACCTCCGCCTTCCTTTTACATCCACTCAGCACTTATTCAGTTCTCTCTGCCTCAGGCACACTTTCTGAACCTCACTCCCCAGCATGGAGGACCTGGCTTCAGAACCACAGCTACGGACAGCGCTCTGGCCCTGGGCTGCCTTTCGGCCTCCTTGGTATCCCCTTGGCTCTGTTTCAGCTGCAAGCACCCATTGATCTTCCGGTGCTGCAGAGTCCTTCCAGAGAGAGAGGCAGAACCGAATTCAAATCCAAGTCTAAGTGCTGCTGTGACGCTGACCTCCAGCTCCTTACCTGGCACAGAGGGTGGCTAAGAGGAGGTAATGGAGTAACATCCATCAGGTGCTTGACAGAGAAAAGGGATTCAACAGCTGTTAGTGTCTTCCTCCTAAGTAGCATGTTTCAATTTTACCAGGGATTTCCAGCACCTGGACCAGATGGTCGAGGGGCAGACACCACAGCAAGCTGGTGGGGGAGTTTGTCTTCAGCAGACTCCATGCTGTGGCTCACCTCAGTGGCAAACAGGAAGGGTCTTCTGTTTTGACATATCCCTGGGTCTTTTCTGGGCAATGAAAGAATGTAACAGCTCCTTATCCCCAGGGCATTTGTGTGTTTAATAGTGCATATTACAAGGCAATGCTTGACTCAAGGAATGGAGAATTAATGATGGGATTCCACAGTGTGACAAGACACAGGGGAACATGGCCCATGGGGCAACTGGCCTCTGCTGTCACCTTGTTCAGTGGCTGCCCACCCATCTTGGACTGAGGTTGTGCTCATCTGAGAGGAAGCACTCATGCTACACAAGAGGCTTGGCCAGATCCCCAGGTGGAGAGAAACAGGTATCCTCCTGAAACTTACCAGGAAGCCCTTCTACCAAGGCTGCTGTTGGATTATGGCAGTGACAGTATCCCAGTGATAATGTTAAACTTAAAATCCTACCACATCCCCTACCTCAGCCCCTGGACGTTGGGGGCATTCTGTCTTGTCCACTGATTTTAGCTCCTGGACCATAGATTGGCTGTGTGTGGCTGCCACCCATCCTAACTTTCAAGGTGGCCTGGGAGGGGCTGAGATCCATAGCCTGCATGACACAGGATTCATCAAAGAATTGCATGGGGTGAGTTCCCCCTGGGGGGCTCCATCCCCACTGAACTTGTCTACAGACCATGAGGGAGAATGGCTTTTCCTCGAGGGAAGTCCAGACCAGCAGGCAATTTAAACACAAGCAGTTCCAAAAAGTGGTTGGCCAGGAACACACTCTGGGCTTTCTCCTGCTCCTCCTGGGGCTGTCTGTTGCCCCTTCAGTGAGGAGGCCCAGAGCCACATCAGCTTTTGCTCCTAATTCAGCAGTTTGCTCCATTCCCATGCCTGCAGCCCCTCCCACCCACCCTTTCACTGCAGGCCAGAGGGCTCATTAGAAGCTGGGACTTCAGCACCTTGCCTCTGTGGACAGCGCCCAGACAGTTGAGCTGTGCCACCTTTCTGTGGCCATCATGTGCACCCAATGAGCCATCAGCAGCCCCTGTGCAGCAGCCACCATACTGGGCACATCAAGCCTACCTGCCATGTGCTTTATTCTATGGGAAGACAATGGGGGCAGACGCCATAATTTCCATCTTACAGGTCAGGAAGCTGGGGTTCTCACAAATAGAAAGAGTGGTCCAGCCTCTTCTTCAGGAAAATGGCAGCATTTACAAAGCTCTTCCCAGAGCAAACCACAGCTCTCTCAGTGATGGGTCCAAATGGCCCTTGGAGGTTTAAGAAGAGGATGGGATGAGGGGTGGAGGAGAGCTTAGAGCTCAGGGCTAATGACTGGTCAAGAACACACAAATGGGTTCTGACAGGCGCATCAGGCATGGAGCAGACAAAGAGGGGCTCTGAAACCAAATGGGAGATGATAATTTACCTGCAGTCTTGGTGCTGTGCAAACGAGGATGAGAATGCCAGCCGCCCCCGGGGGCAGCTGTGAGGATAAGAAGGAAGGGTGTGCGACCTGCGCTCCATCTGGCTCTGACACTGTCAAGAGCTGCCCGTTTTGTCTCCAGAACCTTGGTCCTGGCAACTGAGTGGATGCCACGGCAGCTCCAGCCAATCCTCACTGGAGGCTACCCACTGTCTATAGTTGATTGGTGCAGAGACAGCCGCTTGACCCAACCTGGGCCAATCAAAGTGCTTCCTGCGATTTCCTGTTAATAAAGGTCAGACTCTGGACCCTTATTTGAACTTCAGTGTGAACTTTCAGCCCCGTTCTTCACCAGATGGTGAGAGATTGAGGCTGAGATTTGGAGGAAAGTAGAGGGGAGAGAGCGTGTCCTCAGTGGCAGGACTCATGAGGTCCCAGGGCTTCCTGAAGTCTAAAGTTTCTGATGTTTTGAGGTCTCCCCTGCCCTTCCAGCTCCAAGCCCTCCCCTGTCATGTTCCATTGTGTGGACACTGGCTTCTTCCTGATGTTTCCTTTGTGCTTTTTCTTGTTGTCCATCTGTCCCCTTGTCACCTCTATTTTGCCAGCACTGGGAATGCCACCTGCCCTCTGTAGGCTCCTAATATACACATTTTACACAGAGGGATGCTGAGCTTCCTGGGGGTTGGTTGTGTAGCCTTCCTGGGATTCTGTAGCCAATAAATCCTGTTATTGTCGAACTGAGCTTTTGTCTTTTTTCTGCCCCTTGCAGCCAGAACCCTGAGGAATGCCAGTGTCTGTGGCCTTGGGAAAGTCTCTTCCCCTCTCTGACTGTGGCTGTCCTTCCTGCAAAGTGGGAGGAGATGCTAGCACTACAAAGGTAATGGCGAGGCCTGGGAGTGTGCCAGCCCCTTCCGATGCTCTCAGGGGCAGACCCCTCCTGGGGTGGGGGGTGTGGGCGCAGACCTCGGATCTGGAGCCACCCCTCCCAAAACACATGCAGGGGGGTTAGGCACCGTGTTCAACCTCCCTTTGTTTCAGTCTGGAAAAGGCAGGATTTGATGAGGCCAGTCCTTGGCACCCCAAATGGAACTTCTCCAGTAATCTCAGCTGAGATTCTTCCTGCTCACAGTACACAGTGTGTGCGGTTCCTCCATGTGCATAACTCATAAATCCCAACACCAGTCTGGAATGAACCCCTGTGGGAGGTCTGACCCTGGGCCAGGCCACACACACACACCGTTCATGTGCCTCATGAGAACTCTGGGCAGAAAAGGGCTTCTGCAGAGGAGGAAACTGCAGGTTGGGGAGGTCCCTTGCCTTCCTCAAGTCACAGAACACATTAGTGGTACACCCAGGCATCATGTCGTCATTGGTCTAACGCTTCAGCTGGTGCTTGGGCCTTCCATGACCTTCTCCACTCTTCTTGTGAACCCCGATGACACCATTGCATGTCCCCTGTGAGGCCATCTGGTTGTCAGAGAGGATGATCCAGGCTAGAGAGGTGAGTTCACAAGCTGGATGTCACACAGCAAGCTGGGCAGTGGAGGTTGAGGTACTGGGTACAGTCCTGCTCTCTGGAGCCCCCAGATGCTTCCTTCAGCCCATGGGGGCTCAGCACAGCCCATAAGGCAAGTGGGGGGTACAGAGTGTCCGGAGTGGGGGAGCCTGTTCCTGCTGTCAGGCCTCGTGCTGGTGTGTGTGAGAGTGACAGAGCTAATTTCCCAAACACCATCTGAGCTGAATGCATGTGGATGAGGATGATGGTTTTTAAAATTTTAAATTAGAAAAAAATTACATTTTTCTCCCCTGCCAAAATAAAGATGAGAAGTCAAATGGATCTGGTTTGAAAGGGGCTGGAATCAGGGAGCATGTTCCTGCCAGGCTCTCTGTTAAGCAAACAGACCTGGGAGCCAAGCATTGCCTGGTGGTTAGTCCCTGCGACCTCTGGCTGCCCGGTTCTCTGCAGTGTGGGGCACGGCATCTTCCAGGAGCTGTGGGGCAAGCAGGCTCAGGCTGGCGTCTGCAGGTCTCCTGCAGTTGGCTGGGGCTGGTGGCATCCAGTTCCTCTCCTGGGATGCAGGCTTGCTCCTGTCTTCTTTGAGGAATTTCCATGGGACGGGTGAAGGCAGGCAAGCACCCCAGGGCCGGACACTCAACCCCCGGGATGCAGCCGCTGTCTCTGCTATGACTGTTTCTACCGCCCCGACGGGGATCGCTCTCTCCTGCTCTGGTGACTCCGTCTTTGGCAGTGCTCTGGTTTGGGCTCCGTGTCACCTGCTGTCTGCTGTGCTGCGTTTTCCCAGAGTGGGGCCCGGCATTGTTCTTCTACACCGCATCTTTGAGAGACCCTTTCAAGGTTGTCACCCCAAACTACAATTGGGGAAACTGAGGCCCATGGGCCTGACTGCAGGTGCTGTGGCCAGCACAGAGGACTGGCCAGGAAAGGGCTCCCTTCCCGTGCAGTCAGTCAACCAGGGAGGGGCTGGAGGGCTGCACTGTGGTCAGGAGACTTGCAGGGCCCCTCCCCACTCCAGACACTGTGTCTGATTCCTTGAGAAAGAGCAGTGAGTCCCCTCCCTCAGCCTTTGCTGGCCTGGGGGCTGCTCTTCTGTAAGAAGCCACTGCGTGGGGCGGGAAGCACCACATGTCTCCTTGGCCCGGCCGCTGCTTCCTTTCTCCTTTCATCAGCAACTGTTCTCCAGCAGGACTCGCAGGCAGGACCACAGGACGCTCCGGAACGGGCTCCTCTGCGGAGGCTTCCTCCCATCCCCAGCCTCCCGCCACACCTCTGCACACATTGGAATCGGCCTTGTCTGCTCCGCTGTGGCCTGGGTCAGGTCAGCTTCTGGAACGGTGTGAAAGAACAGAGAGGGTGATGTATTCCGGGCGACTCCCAGCCAGGCCCTAGGAAGGCTGGTCCCTGGGTCCTCGCCCCATCAGGTGTTCTCTCCTTGGTCTCATTCTTGGGCCTTGTTCCTGTCCCCCGTCACTCCTAGGTCCACCGGAGCCCACACCTGCTTCTTTCCCTGCCCACCGCCCCTTGAGGGCTCCTGCCCCAGGCCTCTGAGACCCCAGAGAGGAACGAGGACGATGGAGAGGGCCGTACTGGGAGCAGGGGGGTGACGGGGGAGGAGGGGCCAGGACTCTGAGCAGAGGGGAAGCAGAGAGGAGGAGGCTGCCTGCAGCCACAGCACAGGAGCCAGGAGCAGACTCTGCAGAAGGGAGACCAATGGCGCATGCAGGTGGCCCCAGCAACAGCTGCCAGCACCAGTGTGGGCCCAGCCCCTGTGACAGAGCGCTGCTGGTGGCCCGCCTACTCCAGCCCCACCTGCCATGGGCTGTGGGCCAAGGCAGGGCTGGCTATATGCTATTGAGTATCAGGTGGGAGGAAGGGAGTCTGAGGCAGGGGCCATCGGGGGCACTTCCAGCTTTGGGCTCCTGACTGAGACTCTGGGTGCCCCCGGATGACCTCTCCAGGTAAGCCTGGGCACATGTGGCACAAATTGCCTCTAAACTCTGCCAGCTCAGAACTTTCTGGGCCAGAATGCGATGGGCGTCAACCCCTGAGAGAAGGTGGCGGGGAGAAACTTCCCCCGCCCTCCATCCCGTCTCTCCGCTTCCCTTCAAGTGGGGGCAGTGGCCATGGCTCCCTGCAGTGCCACAGTGCGGCTGGGCATCTGTTTGCAGCTCTGGAGAAAGGGGAGACACAGGATAGTGGGGGTGGCCTGGCCTCAGCCCCACCCAGGGGCCTCTAAGAGTTGAGCTTGGGCTGCATTCTCAGCTGCACTCTGCTGGACTGCATTCTCAGCTGCACCAGAAGGCAGACACCAAAGCGATCCGAGCTCTCCCCTGTGCTGGGGCCGCCTCCTCCCTCGCTGGCCGGGTGTATGTTAGTTTCCTCGGGCTCCGCCAAGCACCACACACAGAGTGGCTTTCACAGCAGACGTCTATTGTCTGGCAGCGATGGAGGCTGGAAGTCTGAAATCAAGGTGTGGGCAGGGCTGTGCTCCCTCCAGACGCCAGGGGAGGATCCCTCTGCCTCTTCCAGCTTCCATCAGCACCTGCTGCCCCTGCGTGCCGGTGCCTCTACCCTTGCCCTGGCCCCTACCACTCTTCAGTTCCCTGCCCACCCTTTTGTCTTCTTGACCAGACGTGGAGCTCCCTGAGGGCAGGGACTGGGGCTTATTATATCTCCTCAAGCTCGGCCTGGTACTGCAGCCCAGGAGGGTCTGTTGGATGAGCGGGTGATGGATTTGGTGAGAGATGGGGAGTGACAGGCTCAGAGGTGCAGGCATGGGGGTGGCCAGGGTGCACTCTGGGACATTTCTGGAGGTTGAGGGTTAGCACCGGGACTTAGGCTGCACCAAAGTGCAGGAGGCCCAGAAGGAGACAGGGTACTCCGAGCAGGGGCAGCTCTACCAAGGTGAGCAGCAGAGAGGCCGTTCTGAGGCTGGCGCTGAGCTGGGGCTCAGGGCGGGGAGGTGGGAAGGCAGGAGATACAGCTTGTGAAGGGTGGGCTGGGTGTGGAGTGGGGCACGGGAGCTGGGAACAGCTCAGTCACTCCAGTGGCTTGCACATGTGGCACCAGGGAAGAGGGGCCTGCTGGCTTGTGTGGACAAGGAGGAGGGGCCTGTGGTTCTGCGGGCGGGAGCAGGGAGTACACGGGGAGCCACTCTCCCTCCTTCCCTCCCTCCTCTCACTGATTACCCTCAGCTGCGGGTCAATCTCACTGTAAAAGACGGCCCTGCCCCCTCCATGGCCTGGGGAGGCTGAGGGGTTTCATAAAAGGGTCTGCTCATTTGTGACTTTAATCCTCAGCTGTGATTTTATCTCCGCGCGAGAAAGCTCTTTCTGTTCATCGATCCCACGCAGGCATTAGCTGGAGAGCCTCAGCTATTAGCTCCTGATGGCACCAAAGTTATCCATTGACCCTGGCTCTTGGCCACAGCACAGGGGCTGGGGGCTGCGAGGTGAGTAACTGAAGTGCAGAGACGTGCATCCAGCTGCTCCCAGGCCCCCGGCAGAGTCCTAGCAGTCCCTGCAGCTTCCTGCCTTCCCCCTGGAGCGGGTGCACCACACCCAGCCCTGCTGTGGCAATGCCCTGCGTTCCTTCCTGGAGCCCAGAGGAGGTGCCTCGAACCTCGGAAGGGTCCTGGCCGCCCCCGCCTTATGGGGTTTCCCCTTTCCCATTGGCCACAGGGCTTTCTTCCCACAATGGGACCCCTGAGACTGTGTGCTCTGGGAAGGCAACCTGGGGGTGGATGGCAGATGCCCACCCCTTTGCCCAAGAGGCCCAACTTAGAGTGCCCCCGTCTTCTCAGACAAGTGTGGGCTGCACTGGTGGTTCCGAGAGCTGGCGATCCTTCATATTCAGGAACACTGCAAGCTGCGACCAACGCTGACTGCCTGGAATCAGCCAGCGTGGGAACCTGGACACTGCAGAAACTAGCAAACCACACAGCTGAGTGCCGCCCTTCTCCTTCCCAGAGGAGCAGCTTCCCAGCCCCGCACCGTGTTTACCCTGCGTGGTCACTGGGTTGCCGCTGGCAGACAAGGCCCTGCCTCCCCTTTGAGCACACAAGCCATCGAGGCTCTCTTCTCAGGAGCCCCAAATGGTCTCCCGCCACTATGGATCCCTGGACTTCTCTCCTGGAAGCTCCAGGGTGGCGGCTGCCTGGCCTTCAGAGACACCCACTGCCTCAGACCAGGCAGCCTGACTTGGAGACCCTTCCCCATAGGAGCCGGGTTCCCCTTCAGCCTGCACAGCCCACCCTTCAGGCCTAGTGGGAAGCCCACCCTCTTTGGGGAAGTCCCCAGCAGCCTGGCAGGAGGCGTCTCTCCTCCCCGGGGCTCTTTCCTCGGGCTGTCCTGGGGCTCAGCTTTGTCTCTCACCTGGTGGTGTGGGCCTCGAGGGCCGGGCCTGTTGTGGGCCAGACCCTACCTGTTGGAGATGCAGCCACCATGGTGCTCAAACAACTGACCTCGTGCTGCCTTCATGTGGAGGGACAAAGACCTGGGGGCAGACGACTAACTGGACCAGCATCTTTTATGCAGAAAACGCATCCCTCTCGCCATTCCTATTTGACCAAAGATATCCCGGAAGGGGGTCGTAGAGGCCAGCTGAATCCCTGTCCAAAGCAGGGCATCAGAAAGGGCACTTGGCCTCCCAGTACGAGAGGTAGGGTGGCTGCAGCCAGCACAGTGGCTACAGGAGGTTGGAGCCACTCCGGATCACACTGGCCACAGCCTGACCTGTTCATTGCCCGGGCCCTGAGCACCTGGCCTGGTGCTGAACTCCTTTGGGAACTTCAGGTCTGATGGAGAGGTGCTCCGTCCACTCTGCCCAGTGTCTGCCCTCTGCCCAGACGCCCCAAAAGTAGAAACAGAGAGAAGGCGAACTTTGGCTTCGGGGGCCCAGCGCCACCACTTCCAACCTACGTGGCGTTGGTCAAGTGGCCTGGCTTTGCCGAGCCGCTGCCTCACGTCGCCCATGGGGATGATGGAGCCGCCCTCCAGGAAGCTCCAGGGATTCATGAGACCAGGCGTGCAAGAGCTGCAGGTCTCAGCAACTCATCACTAGGTGCTGGTGCCTGCTCACAAGGGACAGCTGCCCACCCAGCTCTGGGCCAAGGCTGGGGGCTCCCGCCCAAGCCCTGGGCAGCTGTTGATACATCGCTGACCGCAGGCAAGCCTCCCTGCCAGCCCTGCTGGCCTGCGCGGGACCAGGGAAGAGGGCGAGGCCTATATTTATCTGCAGTGTGAGGAGGCTTGTCTGGCAGTCAGATGCAAATGCCTTCATCCCATCTGGGCTGGGAGCTGCTCTCAGCGGACAAGTCTTTTCTGCCTGCTCCACACCAGCCTGGTGCCAGTGACAGGAGTGGCGGGAGCTTCACGGTGCCTGGAGGCTCGTTCCTGGGTTGCGAAAGTGCCTGAGTGACAGAGGCTGAGGCTGAGCTTAGGCGAGTTTGCTGAGGCTTAGGAGGAAGCCGGATCAGAAGAGGCCGCAGAAGCCATACTGCCCATACATCCCTCCCCCAGCGGTGGCCCACAGGTGCCTGGCCTCAGCTCAGCTATACTGGAGGGGAGGTAGCCAGCGCCCTGCCGGTGTCTCGGTTCTAAGACCTCATTTGTACAGTGGAGAACAGGAGGCAGCCACCCAGTGACCTTCAAAGCCTCCAAGAGAAGCAAAGGGACAGGTGTAAGGAAGTAAGCCCTGACCCTGGGGACTCACCAAGCCCTGATGAAGTTACAAGCTGGGCCCTGACCCTGGGCACACACTAAGCTCTGACCCTGGTCTCAGGCTGAGCCCTGACCCTGCTCACACGCTGAGCCCTGACCTTGGTCACGTGCTGAGCCCTGATTCTGGTCACAAATGGAGCCCTGACCCTGCTCACACAATGAACCCTGATCCTGGTCACACACTGAGCCCTGATCCTGATCCCACACTGAGCCCTGATCCTAGTCACACACTGAGCCCTGATCCTGGTCACACACTAAGCTCTGACCCTGGTCTCAGGCTGAGCCCTGACCTTGGTCACGTGCTGAGCCCTGATTCTGGTCACAGATGGAGCCCTGACCCTGCTCACACAATGAACCCTGATCCTGGTCCCACAATGAGCCCTAATTTTGGTCACACACTGAGCCCTGACCCTGGTCCCACACTGAGCCCTGACCCTGGTCACACATTGAGCCCTGATCCTGGTCCCACACTGAGCTCTGACCCTGGTCCTCAATCAGCTGAGCCTCGACCCTGATCCCTGATTGGCTATGTTCTGTTCCAGTGTGGAAGGGAGAGGCCAGGGCATGAGGTGGGATGGGCTAGGGCAGCCCCTCTGCACATCTGGGACTCAGGTCAGAACACAATCCTCCCTACATGAGAGAATAAATTCCTGCACGTGGCGTTTCTTCAAGTAGCTGGGCTTGAAGCCTGCACTGGGCTTGCCCTCCAGTGACAGCAGCAGGTTTCAAGGAGACAGCCATGAGACCGTCCCTCAGGCTGGGGACTTGATCATGCTCACCTCAGAGCCTCACCTCCTGGAGAGTGAGCAAAGTGAGGGTCATCAACCCACTTTACAGATGAGGAAATGGACGCCCAGGAAGTGGCCTCGAGATCTCGCCCAGAGAATAGCTGGTCCTGAAGACTCTGTATCTGAGCCACACACTGCTCTGCCCACACCCCCAGGGGTCTCAGCACCCCCAGCGCATTTTTCCCTGCTCCTGGCCTGCACTGTGAGCTCCCACTGGCAGTTCCTAGCAAGCACATGTTGGCTGTGCCAGGCCCCAAGTGCCTCATGAGCTAAAGAGGGTGTCCTGCTATTCCGGGGCTCACTGCCCAGCCTCTGCATGAGTAGCCTTGCTCTGTGCCTGTCCTGGCCCAGCATTGCATGTCCAGAGAGGAGACGGAGTTCGCCTTCTCTGTGCTGTGGGACTGACTGTGTCGGGGTGGGGTGGGGGGAAGCAAAAACCAAATCCTTCGTTTCCCCGACTGCCTGACCTTGCCTCTCTCCAAACCTCATGACGTCCAGCTCGAGGGAAGTGAAAGTCACTCCGATATCTGGAAATACAGTTGATGAGGCAATTAAATCCCCTGTCCCTTCTCCTTCCGGGGGGTCCTCTAGGGTCCTGGGAGTCCAGCCAACAGGAATCCGTTTTATGATCCTGAGTCCCTGCCAGCAGGAAGGCTGGGCGAGGCCGGTCCCTATGTGCCCACGACGCTCTCACATAAATATGCATCACTTAAAATTTAATAAAAAATATACCAATTATAAAAGCTATTTACCCAGTCAAATCAATCACAGGCCTTGGCGTGTTAATGCCTGAACACCTGATTTCTGCTCATAAGTCACTTTTACACCCTCTTTAGGTGCTAACGACCCGGGTGAACTGGCAGCAGTTCCGGAGGGACAGGGCCCACCTATCCCAGCCCCTCACCCGCCTCCTCAGGGCCCGGGAAGTCAGCTTGCCTCTCAGGAAGCCGGGATCCCAGAATCAGGGCTCAGAGCCTCTGGCCTCCTGCGGGCAGCCCCCGCCCCCTCTGCAGGTAGTAGAGTCAAACCTCCTCTCCTTCAGGAGGCCTTCCCTGCCCGCCCCAATTCTCAGCATTAAATGGGTGGCTCTGTCTGCGTTAGCAAGAAATGTGTTCAATTTCTCACTTTCTGCAGCAGCGACTGCGGGCCCACCACACACACAGCCTGTTTCAGCTCCAAGGGGTACCAGCTGTATGCCCCTTTTGCAAAGCGTGAGTCCCTGTTGGTGTCAGGGATGGAGGCGGGTGACATAAGACACCGGGCTGTGCCTGGGCCCCTCCCTGCCTCACACCAGAGCATCTTGCCAACTAGTGGAGGATTCCTGGCCAAGGAATCATCCGTGCCAGTTTGGGGACAGTGGCCACATGGCCCATGGGGAGGCAGGAGGGGTAGGGGAACAGCCCCCAGATCCGCTCTTCAAGCCACAGGCCCCGCAATTCCTGGCTGAGTGACCTCAGGCTGGTCTCTGGACCTCTCTGAGCCTCCATGTCCTTATCTTTGGATCAGGAATTGCTGTGAGTTTGAGTGAGTCAGTGCACGATGGGTACTTAATGCTGCTACTCAGTGGTATCATAGCCACAGCTGGCATTCCTTCCTGCGCTCTCTGCCTTCATTCAGCTGTATTTACTGAGAGGCGGTTTGGCCACGTCACTAAGCACAGGGACTCTGATATCAAATCCACCTGGATTTGAGCTTCAGCTCTGCCACTGGTGGTGTGATGCTGGATAAGTCACTTAGTGTCCTTGTGAGTCAGGTTTCTTGTGGCAACACAAATGCCACAATGGATATCTCACAGGGTTGGAGATGCATTCTGGAATGCAGATGTGATGGTTGGAGCTGAAGCAGCCCTGTTGGGCTGCAACAAAAAGCTCACAGTATTGGGATGAAGCAAGATCTTCAGGCAAAGAGTTTTGTTCATAGTTGCTGGATCCCAAATGCTTCCAAACCATGCAGTCCGCAGTGTCTGCTGAGGCGGAGGTGGTACAGTGCAGGGACTGGGCCTGGCTTTGCCCTGACAGTGCGACGGTGGCAAGTTGAGAGAGTCTCTGTGTTTCTGTTACCCCTTCCCTATCAGGGGCCATGGCACCATCTTCACAGGTTGCTGGGAGGATTAAAACACTGGGTGTAAGCTTGTTGTGTAATGCCCAGCACATGGTGGGGCTCACAAGAACTCAGCCAGTTTACTATTAAATGCCTGCTGTGTACCAAGTGATCAGCTAAGCCATTTGCACATTTTATTCTATTTAATCCTCTCAAATTCACACTGGAATTTTATCAGAAGCCTTCCCAAACATTTCCCATTTCACCATTTGCAACAGTTAGATTCGGTGGTAAGTCACAGAGACTCAAAATAGCGATGGCCTAAATAAGAAAGAAGCTTCTCTCTCCCTTTTCCATAGAGGCTGGAGGCAGGCCACCCGGGACTGAAATGGTAGCTCTACTCCACACAGAGCTCGGAGACCAGGCTCCTTTTCCCTTGTTGGTCTCCCAAGCATGGCCTCCATTCCCAAAGCCACTTCAAGGTGCAAAAAGGGTGCTTCGGCTCCAACGATCACATCTGCATTCTAGGGGACAGCAAGGGAGAGGTAAGGTGTGAGTGGCAGCCGACTTTTAAAGCTGCCCCTGGACACTTGCTTCTGTTTACATGTCATTGACCAGACTTTAGTCCTGTGGCTGTGGTGAAAGAATTGTGACATGTAGCCATTTTCTTCTATTTGTGCCCAGCTAAACTTTCTGTGAAGAAAGGAGGAGAGAGTGGGCATTGTAGGGCAACTAGCCCTCTCAGATGCACCCATGTTTGATCGTTTTTAGTATAATTTTAGCTAATCCATCTAGGGAAGCTAGCATTCAGTGTAAAGCAGGATTTCTTCCCCTTGACACCATTGCTATTTTGAGCTGGGTGATTCTCTGCTCTGGGGACAGGGGCCATCCTGTATCCTGTGCTTTGCGGGATGATGAGCAGCTTCCCTGACCTCTGCCCACTAGATGCCAGCAGCACCTCTCGGCTGCGACAATTGGAAATTGGCAAATGTCCCTGGAGGATAAAATTGTCCTTGATTGAGAACCTCTGATTTAAAGCAAAGACAAAAAGTGATGACTGGAGGAGGAAGGTCACTCAGGGAAAATCAGTCACAGACGGGGGAGAAACATTGCACGTTCCAGAGGCCTTATCTCGCCACCTCCCCACCGCATGGCCCCTCCTCGCCCGCATCACAAGTGGCCTCGGTAAGCTGACAGCACATGATTGGTCTATCATCTGTCCTCTGGATAAACCCCAGATTCGAGATGACGGTGTGAAAACACCTGCTCAGGATCTGCAAGGCTAGAACCAAATAGACCTGAAAATGGACACATGAAACGGGAGGATGTTGTCCGACAAGAAATGTTAGACGGAATCACAAAGGGAAAGACAGACAGCTTGACCTGCAGAAAAATCAGAAACTCCTGCCTCTTAGCAAACACAGAAAAGGCCACAAGTGAAAACCACCACCACACGGAAAAAATATTTCCAGCCAAGGCAGCATTCTAGGGGTTAACATCTTCAGTGTGTAAAAGGAGTTTCTAAAAATTGAGAAGTAACACGTGGAACCTCAAATAGGTTATTAGTCAAAGTATGTGGCTACCCAATTCCCAGAAATCACAAATACAGTTAGGAAATAAACATGGAAAAATGATCTTCCCTTACTAGTAATAAAGGAAATGCACATTAAAACAAAGTACACATTCGTGTTAATAAGGGGAACAGACATTAAAACATGGTAATGTCCGACGTGTGCTGTGTTGGGTGCAGGCAGGGACTGCCCCGGGAGCAGACAGTTGGCAGCCTGCATCACACGCTTAAAAATGTTCCCTGAGACTAGCAGTTTAATTTCTAGGATGCTATCCTGAGGAAGTAATCTTAAATACAAAAAAATAGATATTTTTAGCAAAATAATTAGAAACAACCTAAGTGTTTGAACGTGGGGGATGTTTAAGTAAACTGTGGCTTATCCACTTGAAAGAATATTACAGCAATTAAAAAATAATGTTTGCTAAGAGCACGTACCGAGAATGCTTCCAGGGAACAAAAAGTGTGATCCTAACAGGTAATATAGCATAATAGGATTCCAACACTGTTAGCAAGAAATCACCACCGTCTTAGGAAAAGCTAGGAAAATAGCGCTTTAGAAATAAGGAAAGGACGTGCCCCCAAATGTTAGCACAGTTTTGTTTGCTTGGTGGGGTTATAGGCAGAGCTTGCTTTGTTTTATTTACTGTTCGTTATTTTCCAAGTTTTCCCTCGTGCAGCTGGCATTACCTTTTGTAAGACAGGCATATATTTTGCCAAAGCCTGGCCAACTGCAGGAGAGATGGTTTGTGGCTGACTGTTACTGCATGACCCTGGATTACTCCATGATTTTTAAGTTGTGAAAAATAAATGACAAGGAAGGAACAGTCAGTCTTGCTGGCAGCATCACCTCCTTTGTGCGTTCCTGGCCGAGGGACCCCTCCTCAGTGGGTGGGGCTGGCGGGTAGGTGTGAGGAGGCCTAATAAATCCACGCAGGCAGGGAAGTGTTGGCCACCAGGGAAAGTGAGGAGCTGAGCACGGCGGGCGCATTTGCAGGCGTGCGTGTGTTGAACCGTCTACGTGATAAATATTCCTGTGAAAGGCATTTCCCCGGGCGCGTGCCTGGCGGTAGAGTCAGGTTTTACATTAGCGATACAGCAGGATGCTGGGCTTCAGACTCTAGCTTTCTCCTTCCAGAGGGTCGCCGGAAGTCCCCTGTGTGCCTCTGGTTCCAGCGTAGTGATTACTTGTGTCCTGGTTTGAGTGAGAAGTCAGAGTCCCCCCACGCTTCCCGCTCTCTGAGGGGATGCTCGGCTGTCATGTGGGGTCAGCCTCTGATTGTGGGGGTCCTCCTGGGAGCCTCTCTGGGCTGTCTGGCACATCCAAGGATGACCAAGGTCAATCTGTGGGTATCTTAGGGCCACTCTGAGGGTCCTGGGGCTGCTCCCACGTGCACTGTTTTCCTGAGGAGTCCGAGAGTCACTTAGAGACCATGGTGCACTTCCCAGTTCATGGGAACACCCACGCCTCAGGCCACTCCTCACCTACATGGCCCATGGCCTGTGGGAAGCTGAGCTCCCGGCAGTGGCCCAGGGGACCTGGCTCAGTGGAGTGTCTCACGTAGGAGGGGCCCTGAAACCCCATCCACACCAGGACCACACTCAGCCAGGCCATGCCCAGTTGGCCATGGGTGGCCACACTGCCACTTCCAACCACCACTGACCCTTAGCTCTTGGGGACGCTGCAGGGTAAGTCATGAGGGGGTTCTGTCCCCTGCTGCGGGCTGCGAATCTCCCTTTTTCCCAAGCCTTGTCTTCACCTCCACTTCTTCGCTGCCACCCTGCCTTCCTTGAGGGATAATGTCAACCTCTGGTCAAACCCCCTCCGGTGAGCAGACCTGCTTTGTAGGGAGTGAGTTGGCTTGCAAGCGAGTTTTGAGAGTGAGAACATTAGGCAGTGCTCTCAGATGAAGATGAAAAGGCACCCCTACTTTTTGTTTTTTTTTTTTTTTTGAAATGCAGTTTTGCTCTTGTTGCCCAGGCTGGAGTGCAGTGGCACGATCTCGGCTCACTGCAACCTCCTCCTCCTGGGTTCAAATGATTCTCCTGCCTCAGCCTCCTGAGTAGCTGGGATTACAGGTGCCCGCCACCACTCCCAGCTAATTTTTTTTTTTTTTTTGTATTTTTAGTAGAGACAGGGTTTCACCATGTTGGCCAGGCTGGTCTCGAACTCTTGACCTTAGGTGATCTGCCTACCTTGGCCTCCCAAAGTGCTGGGATTACAGGCGTGAGCCACCGGGCCTGGCCCAAGCACCCTTCTTGATTCTCACCACGTGGGTAAACAGTGATGGCTGATGGACTTTGTGACCCTTCCGTGTGCTCCTCTAAGGGGCCCTTTGCACAGGAACTTCTCCGGAACACCTCCTGTAGCAACCAAGAAGGTGATCCATTCTGGGCCCCCCACAATGCCCTCCAGACAGATGACTTTGTCATTTCTCATGCAAACCAGGACCTGATTAATAATTAATCCATGAAGTCCTCACAGCCGACCTGCCAGGGATTCGGCCTCATCCTCAGCTTACAGATGGGAATGCCTGGTCATGCAAAGTTGAGACGCCCGTGGTGAGCTCTCAAGGCAGGATCTGAACCCAGGACAGGAGAGCTTTCACCCTACTGCTTGCCTCACCCACAAAGCAGCAAGTCCTGTAACTGTGATGGTGGTAAGTGTGGTCAGCACACATTTTGGGGAACCATGTCCTTACCCAGGTGCTGGGACTCGGGACTCTATCTGGTCTCACCTGCCTCATGAGGGAAGAATGAGAGGTGAGCCCAGGGCCCAGCAGCTGCTTCAGGGCCTGCACAGGAGGCTTGGGCAGCATCCTCAGGGCTCTGCTGGTTCCCTCTCCTGGGGCTTGTGGGGCGGGTGGGTGAGCAGGCAGGTGGTCTCGGGCTCAGCTTCAGGAATCACAGTGAGAAGTCAGTCCCTGGGTAGCCCTTCACGCTCAAGAGGCTTATCTTATTGTTTGCCTGCTTATTAAGATAGATGTTTGTTTGGGTTTAAGGATTTCAAGGGGCTCTTGCCACATTGCTGGCGGTGAGAGGATGCGTGTTTGGGAGGCTGTGGGGGAGGACGAGGCGAGGGCCGACCCCGCCTGAGTTCCAGTGAGTCTAGCTGGACTCCTGCACACCGTGCGCCCCCCTGCTCCTCAAGCATCCTTGCCTGCAAGGCTCTCATTTACCCGCACGTTTTACGCATACCTGCTTTAGGTCAGCATGCTCCGGGCAGTGATGGACAGGTCGAGGACTCCCCAGGCCAGAAAGGAGGAGACAGGGACACCAGCGATTCCAATACAGGGCAATGTGCCCCCTGAGAGGGGAACAGTGCAGCTTCCATCCCATGTCTGCGCCTGCCAAACTTCTGGCCAATGAGTGACCTCCTTGAGCCTCGGCTTCCCTGCTGTAAAATGGGCTGATGATAACAGCCTCAACCTCCAGGCCATTGTGATGAGGAGGTGAGCCAACAGGTGTGGGAGCCGAAGTGGGGCCCGGCACAGAGGCAAGATGTGCTAAGGAACTACTGTCATCACTATGAGGGTTGAGAGTGGAAGTTATAGACACCCCCAGGGAGCAGGTAACCCCAGGGAATTCTGGAAAGTTCTGGAAGCCTGATCTATACATGTATCCTAAGGGATGGGCAGGAAGGAGGCAGCAAGCTTGAGAAGGCCATGCTGGTGGTGATGGGGAGGGAGGGAAGAGGTCAGAGGCTGTCCTTGGGCAAAGGATGTAGCTAAGACAAAGGGGGCCTGAGGGGATCATCCAGGAAAGATCCGTGTGGTGTGTGTGCCTGTGGCAGCTGGTCACAGAGGATGAGAGGTGGAGTGCTGAGGGCTGACGGAGCCTACCGTCAGTCATGTGAAGCCTTGCAGTGCAGCTTCTCCAGTGGGCAGCAGAGGTGGAGACACACGGTGGGTTTGAAGGGCTCAGGGTGGGGCTGAGGGAGAGGGAGGGGCATGGAGCTGCCCAGAGGTGTGCAGAACCCTCCCCACCACCTTGAGACTCTTTTCTCTTGGGTTTCGTGGTTTGACAACCATGGTCATGACTGTGGGGGGCTGAAAAATGACCCTCAGAGACGACCACATCTTCACCCCTGGGACCTGGGAATATGTTCCCTTACATGGGAAAAGGGACTCCACATGTGTAATGAGGCTGTGGTTCTTGAGACAGAAGGTGATCCTGGATTATCCAGATGGGCCCAGCATCATCACAAGGGTCTCATAAGAGACGGGCAGTGGAGGTGATAATGGAAGCAGAGGTTGGAGTGATGCACTTTGAGGGTGAAGGAAGGGGCTTTGAACCAAGGAATGCAATGCAGGTGGCTTCTAGGAGCTGGGGTGAGGTGGTGGAGCTTCCAAGAGAAACACAGCCTGCAAACACCTTTGCTTTAGACTTTCACCCTCCAGAATGATAAAAGAATACATTTGTATTGGCTCAAGCCACAACACAGGATGAATTGGTAATTTTCTAGATAGATAGGTGAGTAGGTAAGGAGATAGATGGATGAGAGATTGATGATAAATGGATGGGGTGTGTGTGTGTGTGTGTGTGTGTGTATATATATATATATATATATATATATATATATATATATATATATTCCTGTGACAGTTTGTACTCTCAGGATGGCCATACCAACATCTCTCCCACCCACCCTCAGGCTCTTTTTGCAATGAGGCCTTGACATTGCTGTATTGGGAGCTGGGGTCTGTGTTCCCTCTCCTTGAATTTGGGTGGGGTGATCACCATGTAACTGACACTAGGTGACTTCCAAAGCTAAGTCATAAAAGATGACCTGACTTTCACCTGCCATGATGACTCCAGCTCTCGAAGCTGCCTCAGCAGATGCTGAGTGAAGCAGACATCAGCTGTCACCACTGAGCCCTGTACAAATTGCAAATTTTTGACACAAATTGCAAATGACACAAATTGCAAATGACACAAATTGCAAAAAAAAAAAGTTTTTCTTGTTTTAAGCCACTAAGTTTTGGAGTGTTTGTTCACACATCGATAGATATCTTAATTTGTAGCTCTCTCCACTTAGAGGGCCTGAAAGCAAGGGTGCCCCAACAGCAGTGAGCACACCCAGAGCCCCCACCTTGGTGTCTAAATACCATTCTCCACTCACAGGCGCCAGGGCTCCTTGGAGAAGAGGTTGACTAGGGCTGGTTGAGGACAGCACAGGATGTGCCTGGAGCACCTTGTGCCAGAAAGCAAGGTGGTACTCAGGTCACACTGGGGACATGTAAAGCCCACAGGGGCCAGCTTGCAGGGCTCCCACTGGCCAAATGTAGGACAGTCTGATGATGCTGGTAGTGCATTATAATTCATTGGGAAAAGCAGGCAACCAGGAGTCCAGACAAATATAAATGAATGAATGAATGGAAAGCTTGATGAGGAATATGACATACACCTGGTTTTAAAGCACCACATCCTGACCCACACACTCACAAAATACTTATTAATAACAAAGCAGGGGAAATAACTTCACATGGGAGAAACCTGGCAGACACCCCACCGACAAGTGATAAACGTGATGAAGCAGATCAAAACCATGCCTCCCCCACCCGCCACTGCCCAGGCGGGAAGCAGTGAGAACACAGCATCACTCCTGGGATGTTCCTGTAAAAGGTGCAGGAGCCAGATGCAATCGTGGGGACACGTCAGATGCAACCAAATTGAGGGACATTCCACCAAAGAACTGGCCTGTAACCTTCAAAAGTGTCAAGGTCATGAAAGCTAAGAAACTTTCAAAAGTGTCAAGGTCATGAAAGCTTGATCTTAGCTGCATGGCCACCCCTGGGAAGGCTGAGAAAGGCAGTGGAGCTGTATGTCCAGCAAAGAGAGGGTATCTGTTTTCTGTGCTACGTAACAGGCTGAGGGGACTTGAGCCAGAACAGTGCACAGGAATACAAGATTCTGAGCTGGGACGACTGGTGGAGCTGGGACGGGGCCTGCGGATGGGAGGACCCCACTTTCCTGAGCAGCCAGCAGCCCCCGACTTCACTGATCGTGCTGTGGGGTGCAGGAGAAGGTCCGAGTTTGTAAGAAACATACTCAAGAGTTTGCGGCAGAAGAGGAAACATTTTGGCAACTCACTGTTAAATGGTTCAGGAAAATGTCACAGGTGCTGTACTTGCTACTTTTCTATAAATTAGAAATTGTTTAAAACAACAGCAAACCAGCCTGTGGGAGGAGGGTTTGGCAAGTTCACAGGCTGTGGGTGGGAGAGCGCCTGGTGTGTTTTAGGCCCCAGAGGAACCTCCGGCTGGTAAGGCAGAACAGGAGGCTAAGGCCTGAGGCCAGGGAGGTGAGGCAGGTAGATCTGGGGTCCTAAACATACCTGCCTTGCAGGTGTCATGAGAAAATGCACCCCAGGCACTTAGGACAGCAGCCCCTAGCATGAGAACTGGCTTGTTCTTGTCTTCCTTCCCAGGCACTCAACTTCTCCATCAGGCTGCCAGTCTCGGCCTCTCTCTCCGCCTGTGCCTGCCTTGTTCCACTTGGGGCAAATATCACCTGGATCCTGACATCACCCAGTTTGGGGGACATCTCCCTTTCCTGGAAATGGGTCTCCTAGAAACGTAGGCTTCCCTGCCCCTCCTGTAGGATGGGTGACAATGTTGGCATGTGAGTACTGTCACCCTGCGGCTGTTGGGGTGGGGCATGTCGGGCTTGGGGAGGGCTTGGAACTTGGAGAAACACAGACCGGCAAGGCTAGGGCTGTGGCTTTGTCCCCATGTAAGAGGCAAGGTGACCCCATCAGCCCAGTGGGAAGAGAGATAGATGCCAGGAAGAAAAATGTGTCTGCTCACGTCCTTTCCTTCTACCCTGTCCCCCCTCCACCTTCCTTCCAGCCTGGAGATGGAGCCTCATTTCCCCAGAGATGAGCCTTGACTCACAAGGGTGTCCCCCACAAACTTTAGGAAGCAAGTGCCCTGAGCACCATGGGCGGTACTGGGGGAGTCGAGCGGCAGAGGGTCTAAGTTTAGATCCTTCCTCCTTTTAGATGATTTACAAGGCATGTTATGAGACTCGGTTTCCCCAAGGGCTCCCGTTAGGAGATACAGCCTGTGCAGAGTTGGTGAGTGACCTGGGTGTCTCTGCCGGGGCCACTTCTAGCCCAGGCCTGCTGAGCTCCGTTTCTTGGGTTTCATCTTTTGTGGGTGAGATATTGCCGGCTGGTTCTGGAGGGAGAAATGGTGAGATTCCCTTGATTTTCATCACCGCAGGGGATCAAGAGGACAACCAAGAGGAGACAGCTGGGGGAGCCAGGATGAGGACCTGCCTCAAGCCGAGGTCACTCACACAGGTGGATCCGAAGCCTCACAACCTTCCCCGAGCTCTCCTGCCACAGAGTGACTTGTCCTTAGTCCCTAGAGGCTGGCATGACAAGGCCACCTGCCTCTGGGTCTCCCTCTGGGGCTGGGAGTGTCCCCTCTGAAGGGTTTTGGAGCCAGAGAGCCTCGAGTGGGGCAGTGCTCCATTCTTCAGGCCCAAACACTGCCGTCGCCAAGGCTGAGTCCAGCCCTTTGCAGGCACTGGGAGGTTGGTTGCAGGGGCCATGCAGGCTTGGCTGCATCCCTGGAGCCCGCAGCTGTGTGGGAAAACAAGGCAGAGTGAACAGGTCTCTGCCTTTTCAATCAGCTCCCACTCAGCCACATCTTACCTGCTGGGGACCTCCGGGAAGGGATTTTTACCTGTCAGCACCTCATCTCCCACTCCGGGGCCTGTGCCTGGGCAGCCGGGCTGGAGTGAGTGCTGGGTGTGGTAGGATGTGCACTGCTTCCTGCTCTCCTGTGGACACAGGTGAGCTGGATGGAACATGGCCAGGCCTGAGAATCAGAGAGGAAAGAAAGGCCAGGAGGAAGAGACTGGAGGGGAATTGAGAGTGCAGGAGAGATCAGAGAGAGACAGAACAGGGAGAGAGAGGGTGGGGGAGAACTGAGAGGTGGAGAGGAGGAGCGCTGGGCCTGGAGGGAGAGGCCTGACCCTGCAGGTGTCTCCCCGCAACTGCCCAGTGCTCCTGACTCCAGGCCCTGTTCATACTGGAGAGTTTACCCAAGGCCTTGCTCAGGGCACAAAGAGCCCAGATGCTGGCCGCTTAGCGTTTGGGTGATGACAGCAATCCTGGATGTGTCTGGGCAGCCTCCTCTCTTTGCTGCCCCCTCCCTGCCTCTTCCCCTGATGTAGATCCAGACAGCAGGTACAGCAGGCAGCAGACCAGACACCAACCAGCACCTGTCCAGGACTGAATCTGCCAATGGCCCTAGACCCCAGGCCACCTGGTGAGTTCCCAGCCTCAAGTCTCAGGACCCCAGGCCCAAGCTGCGTCTCTGTCCCCATCTCTCCCTGGAGCAGGTTGAGGCGTTGGTGTCCGGGCGCAGACACAGGCCTGTCATGCAACTGCCGTGGGGCCTCAGGCAGCCGTGAGCTAGCTGGAGCCTCAGTGTCCCACACTTCAGACGGGACTGGGGTCCTGGCACCCTGGGCTGTCGTGGGTAGATGCCGAGGTGGGGAAGTCACCGGACAGCCCACTGGAAGTCACCAGACTTGCCTACCTTTGGTGGGGACCTTCTGCCCCTCATGGCATCTGCCTCTGTCACTTGTGTCTGCTCAGCTCCTGCCATGGCTTTGAGTTCAGAGAGGGGTGGACGGGACTAGGCACAGCTCACCCTCGTGCCCTCACGCAGCCTCTCTGACCTTCCCGGCCCCCAGAGCTTTCTCCCTGCTCACTCGGAGTGGGATTCAGCCAGGGCTGCGGGCTGCAGAGGCATCTGGGCCCGGAATCCCTCGGACTTGGGAGGAGAGTCTGGAGGTGGAGGCAGGACAGTGGTGGAGCCACAGAGGACCCGGACAAGGGGCCATGAGGCTGGGCTGGGGGTCGGCGCCCTGGCACAGAACCGGTCAGCGAGCGGGAGGTGTGCTGTGTCTGGGACTCTGAGACCATGAGGGGCAGGAGCAGAGGCCGGCACCTTCTGTCTTGGTTGCCTCCTCTCTGCCTATGACGTTGCTGCTCAGTACAGAAGACCAGAATGCCTGTCGATCTCAGGGGCACTTTGGGGCCAAGAAAGGGAGTTTCTTCCATTTGTTCCCAGGTCAGTGTGTTACGGGGGACAAAGCCCCTGGGACCTGTGAGGTCATGGCCGGGGGACTCAGTCGAGGGGTGCCGTGCAGGTTGTAGCAGGGCCGCTGCTTGAACACACGCGATGGCTGAAAATGGACTTCAAACTCAGGCTCCATCTGGCGTGGGGGTTCTTCCCCAGCTTCCCCTCCACGTGGCGATTCAGGGACCCAGCTTCCTCCACCAAAGCCTCTGCTGTGGCCCGCACTAGGGCTCCGTGACAGTGAGCTCCGTGTGTCAGCTTGGCTGGGTGCAGCGCCCCGCTGTTCACTAACCAGAGAACTAGAGGCTGCCAAGATTGTCGTTTACCCACGTGGTGAATACGGGCGATAGTAAAGGGGAATGACCCTGAAGGTCTGGGCGGGTCTCATCTAATTGGTCCGAAGCCTTAAGAGCAAAACAGATCTCCCCGAGGAAGAGGAAGTTCCGCCTCTCAGCTCCCGCCTGAGTTGCCTGCCTGCTCACCCTGTGGATTTCAGACCTGCAGCCCCACAGTCACAATCATGTAAGCCAGTTCCTTGAAACACGTCTCTCGACATGCACATGTGTATCCTCCAGTCTGTTCTCTCTGGAGAACCCTGACCGCTGAACCGTCGTCTCACCCAGCCCTAGGCCATTGAGCCAAGGGACCAACTTGGCGGTAGCCACTTCCTCTTCGTCCACATCCCACTAGGTGACCTTGGCTGTGTGGCCACCCCTAGGGAGGCTGGGAAAGGCAGTGGAGCTGTATGCCCAGCAAGGAGAGGGTACCTGTTTTCTGTGCTACGTAACAAATCACTGGACACTTAGGGGCTTCCAAGAGCACCCAGGCGTTATCTCGCTGCCTCCTTGGGTCAGGAGTCATGGCGGGCTCAGCTGGCTGCAATGAGACCCCCCTCCGTGGCCCCAGGTCTGCTTCCAAGCTCATGTGCTCATTGAAGAATCCATTTTCTCAAAGCTGCCGGGCTCCTGGGGGCTGGCTTGTTCAGGTCCAGCAGGAGAGAGTCCCTGTGGTTTGAAGTCTCCGAGTTCAGGGAAGGAAAAGCCCCCAGAGGCTTCTCTGATGAGGTCGGCCTGCTAGGATAATAATGCTCTCTCCCTTTGGCTCAGAGCAAAGCCACGCTTGCTAGGGGCCTTGATTACACCTGCAAAATCCCTTTCTTCTTGCCATATCACATGACCTAATAGGGGCGTGGCATTGATCCTATTTGCAGGTGTCCCCCACTGGAGGCAGGGGGACTACAGAGGCGTGGACATGCAGCAGGGATGCAGGAGACCATTTCAGGGCTCTGCATGCCACAGAAAAGGACATGCATGGTGGCCAGGCGGCCAGGTGCTGCCCCAGACCCCAAGGACAAAGGGGATCTTGACATGGGTCAGGGCTAGACAGCCTCTATCTCACGGAGCCATTCTCCTGCCTGGGATGAACACCAGGGTTGCCTGTTTAATGTTTTGAGTAAGAAGGCTTGCTCTTCCCTCACTGTTTTGAGATGGGGTGCACTGCTCAGAGAGAGAGAGAGGGAGGAGGGAGGGGCAGGAGGAGAAAGAGGGGAGGGAAGGAAAGGAAGGGGGGGAGAGGGGGAGGGGGAGAGGCGGGATAGGGGAGGGGGAGAGAGGCTGGAGTGGTCTTGGGGGAAGACGGAGCAGCCTCCTCCTGCTGTCAGCAGAGCCGCAGGCTATAGAGCAGCATAACGACCCTGTCTCCCTCAGCGCAATCCACTCTTTTTCTCAAGCACTCAGTGGTACCAAAGATTTCAGTGTCTCCAGCCCACTACTGGGTCCTCTGAACGCCCTGGACGCTGGCTAGCTGAAGCCTGGCTAATTGTGGGCACCTGGTCCTGGGGGCTTCCCTTCTCGGAGCTGTTCCCGCCTGCCCCTTCTGCTCTAGCAGCCGTCAGAGCTCCTGCCAGGGGTTCTGAAATGCCAATGCCAGTCCCATTGGTATCCAGCCAGGGCCTGGGGTGAGAAGACGATGAGAGCCATGTCCCTGTCCCCTGCCCGCCCACCTGCCCCACAGCTGGGAGTGGGGGCCTCGGAGGTCTCCGCACCTCTCAGTTGCTTGACAGGCTCCCCGGGAACAAGAGGTGTCTTGCCAGAGCTCACCTCCTCATTGAAAGCCGCCTCCTGCCAGCCCAGGCCCGGAGGGGAGGGGGAAGTGAGGAGCAGGCTGTGGTCACTGCAGAGCACAGCCTCGCCATTGGCTGGGGTCTCCTTTCCAGGGCGGAGGGAGGAAGGGATTTTCTCAGCTGCCATCGCTGACACAGGTCCAGGGGCAGGTCTGTTGCCTGAGAGGCTGGGCTGGGCTGGGGAGGAGAGAGGTGGTGGGGAAACAGTGGGTAGACCCCCGGGAAAAGAGGCCAGTGTGGGACAGGACAGGGCGGTACTGAGGCCTGTGGTGTGGGCAAGACCCACTGTTGGCACGGACGGAGCAGCCACAGGGTTGCAATGATGGGGGATCTCCAGACCTGCCATGCCCAGCCCTGAGCCCTGTGCTGGTCATCCCGGGGCAGGGGGTGGGGGCTGGTGGGAGGGGGCTGTTTTCCTGCATCCCTTCAGCTTGGAAGCCAGAGTGCCAAGAGGAGCTCCACCCCCCAAAAGCAACCTTTCAGCCTCTGTGCTGGCCCCGGGCCCAGGCCCCTGCCCACACCTCCCAGGTGTGTGCGTGGCCCCTCCAGCCTCGCCCAGGGCTGTGATCCCCACCCCACCAGGCTGCGGGGGAAGCAGCCTCAGAAGTGCCTGCAGAAAGTAAATTTCCAAACAGACATCGACTAGTTCTGGTTTCATTGCTGACGGCGGGAGTTTCAGGCTGTCTCTGAATCAGTCCTATGCCCCAGCTCACCCAGTGTCCACATGTCTAAAACAATTTGCAACAGACAAGTGGTGTGTGTGTGTGTGTGTGAGAGAGAGAGTGTGGGTGTGTGTGTCTGAGTGTAAGAGTGTGCGTGAGAGTGTTAGTGTGTGGGTGTCAGTGTGAGAGTGTGTGAGTGTGTGTGTGTGAGTGTAAGAGTGAGCATGAGTGGATGTGTGTGGGTGTGTGCGTATGTGTGTGAGAGAGTGAGTGTATGTGGTTGTGTGATTGTGGGAGACAATGTGTGTGTGAGCATGTGTGAGTGTCTCTGTATCTGAGTGCGTGTGAGTGTATGTGCATGTTGGGAGAGAAGTGTGTGTGGGGATGTTAGTGTGTGGGTATGGGTGTGAGAGTGTGTGAGTGTGTGTGTGAGTGTGAGAGTGAGCATGAGTGGATGTGTGTGGGTGTGTGCGTGAGTGTGTGTGAGAGTGAGTGTATGTGGTTGTGTGAGTGTGGGAGACAATGTGTGTGTGAGCATGTGTGAGTGTCTCTGTATCTGAGTGCGTGTGAGTGTGTGTGCGTGTTGGGAGAGAAGTGTGTGTGGGGAGGTTAGTTTGTGGGTGTGTGTGTTGGGGGAGAAGGGGGTAACCTGAGCCCCCTGGAGTCAAACTTGGGTCTTGAACTAGCTGAGGCTGAGAACTGAGGGAACCTGAAGGCCTGTGGATGAGAGGGATGGCCCAGGGCCATCTGGGGGGATCTGGGGGCCCCAGAGCACAGCCTTCCCGGAACCCAGAGGCAGCTCACACCTAGGGGTGGCTCAGGACTCAGGCCCTGTTCCCCACTTCCCCAGGCCCCTGCGTCATCTTTCTAAATACCTCCGTGTCCCTGTCACCCCCTCCCTGGTTCTGAGCCCTTCCCTGCTTTTCCTGGACGCGATGAGGCCTCCCATTTTGCAACCCCCCGGTTCTGCCCCACAGCCACCCCCTCTGTGTCTTGCTCCTGTGATGAGGACCTCTTCTGCTCTGGCACGTGCTCCTCCCAACCTGGGGCACTCTGCCCGGACCTATCTCCCATGCCCTTCGGGTGTGGCTCATGCATGAGCAGCTTTTCCCAGCACCCCTAAGAAGGTCTGGGTGCCCCTTTCACACTCCCACACTCTGTGCTCCTCACACCCTCATCATGCCTGGGATAGCCTGGGATTCCCTTTGTCTCCTCAACAAAGGGCTCCTGAAGCCAGGGCAGGCTTTTCTTCCTCCCTCCCTTGTCTCTTCTTTCCACGTCCCTTCTTCCCTCCTTCCCCTCTCCTCCCTCCTTTCCTCCTTTTCTCCCTTCTTCCCGTCCTTCTCGCCCCCATGTTGCCTGCACATCCTGGGAATTCCATACATGTTTGTGGAAGGAGGGGGCATCTGCCTGGCATTCTGCAGCGGGAGGCCTCCCAGAGGGCTCACAGGTGGCACCCACAGTGCACGTGGTGCCACTGGTCTTCAAGGAGCAACCCTTGGGTCTGCCTCCCTCGGAAGCCCGTTCCACAGCACCCCTAGGTGACGAAGGAAAGAACACTGGTGCTTCCCACCTGCAAAGTGAGGGATGACAAGGTGGTGCCCAGGCTGCCCAGCCCGGGATCTCATCTATTTATAGCAGGAGCCCGTGTTGGCAATTGCTATTCAACTCAGGGGAGGCTGGGAAATAAAATTGTGTCGCAGGATTTGTTCTTCCCAGGCCTCTTATTAAATCTCACCTTAGAACATGCTTTCTCTGAGCCCAGGAACTTCTCAGCATCTCCTTGGGGCGGGCTTGCCAGGCGCTGTCACCTGCTCA